CTCGGTCACGCCCGTGTGTCAATGTGGTGGCTCTCATAATTTTTTATAGGAGCTGCTATGCCTACAAGCTTGAATCTGAAGTAGCATTTCTCACTCAAACTATGCCTCTCTCTACGTGAGGCCAGGCAAGAAGCACACCGAAGAGGTTTTTTCTACCTATTCCAAAATTGTCCCTCGTTCTGCTCCCATCCCTTTGATATCTAGTACATTGATTTATTTAACCATTAACCATTCTGTGAATCCACAAACCTCGCCTTATGAACAAAAAAAAAAAAAATTCACCTGGGTCGGAACATTTTTCAATAAATAAAAGGATGCACAGATCCACATCTCTTAGACAGATGCGTGTCACACACATCCACATCTATAGACAGATGCAAGTCACAAATATACAGACCTAGATCTTGCATACACACGTGTCTTTTGACATGTACCGGATAAATGCCCCCCCAACCCCACGCACGTACGTGTCTGTTGACAGATGCAGGTTACACATGCACGTGTGTAGTCGAGAGATGCAGATGACAAACGCGTGCGCGTCCGTCCGTCGGTCCGTCGATAGATTCAGGCCCCACACATTTAAACACATGTAAACTCGAACACAATCATCCCTTAACCTCTTAACCTGTTCAACCTCCCTTGCCATAACTAATTTTGCCTGGTATTTTCTTCATTTTTCCTTTTCCTTCTCTTCTTCATCCACTTCTTCGAATCGTTAACTCCTATTTACCCTTTTCGCCCCCATCCTATCGCTGCAATTTGCATAGGCTGGTAACGATCTCTGATGTTGATGCGGCTGAATATTTTAATGAATAACTTGTTCAGGTTGCAGGGAAGCTGTTGCAGTTTTCATCACCTCCCCCATTTTCCCAGTTTTAAATTTCCACACCAGTCTAATTGATGTTATCCATTCAGTTCTTTTGTGACCTCCCTATCTCCATCTGCCAAGCCTTCTGGCATTATTCTCGCCAAACTCTCCTAGTGTCGTGTTATTTCCCCTTATCAATGAAGCTTTTCTTTCGCACAAACGGTCAGTCAAAAAGTGTTGATCTTGTCCTCTGTACAACACACGTATTCAAAACTGGCGATCGTCTTTTCCAATTCCTTAAGAACTATTATCTTATTGATTTAAATATTGTAAGTATTTCAAAGACTTAAACAGCACTTACGTGTACACATACCTTTGTACATAAGCTTAGGAGAACATGTTCCCGAATTGTTTTTGCAAAAGTATATTACATTCTATTAACCAATATTTTTCTTCCAGATGAGAAAAGAGAGCGGATACGACCACGTGGAACTGGAGGAGGAATGTCCCGCAACTCCCAAGCGCGTCGGCAAAAACGCAGACTAAAGTTCTCTAGACTAATCAGTGTCTTTTTTTTCTGAAGCATAATCTTTTTTAGTATACCGATGCATTCTTGTTTTGCAGTGTCGTGCTATATATTGCTGCGCCTTTTGGTGTGATTGTTATATTTAAAATAAAGCCATGTAGCTTGTAAGCGTTGCAGAAGCTACGCCATACCTTTTACAAATAAATAAAACTTGTATTTAATTTCTTTTCATTACTGCAACATCGTTTTACTACTGCTGGAGGGTGTGGAGTGTAAAGTTTACTAGTACATATACTATCTACTATAAATTTATACACAGGCACTATAAATCACCGAGGTCAGTCAGGGATGTCAGTTATTTTAGACTAATATCAATAATGTAAATGTATAACTAATATAAAAATCCGAGTCAAGGAAAGGGGGAATTAGGTGAGATTACATTAAACTAATGGGAGGTGGAGCGTGCATGATAGGTGGGCACAAATAGGAATGACGTCACGGCCGGACAAATTACTTGGTAATCGTCACCTTCACAGTTGCCCGTTGATCATGTCCGCCTGTATGAATAGGCCCCCAATCCCTTGCTCGTTGTCGTGGGGGCGTAGGAGATGGACTGTTGCCCAGTGTAGGGGATCATCCCTAGCTTTATTTGGCATGGTCCTTTTTTATTCATCCCACTCTGGCAACTTACCCTAATCGCAATTAAATTTTACCCTTTTCACCACAATACTTTATCATAGTCCTATAATCTTTCATGTCTGGTTAATGATCAAAACAAATGCCATTGTGGGAATCCACAAATCGCCTTATTGAGCCCAAACCCTTCTTAACTGGGAGCTATACGCCGTTTATGACATTGAAAATTTATGGACAGGCCTTTAGAGGTTGACATGGCAGTACACTACTTTTTAACCAAGCCTTTGTAAGAGTCATCTCTGCACAAAAGTCTGGACATTGCAGATACTTTATGCATATACAGCAGCTTAACCCTTAGTGCTGAGATGTACAAAGGCACCCATAATGGTAATCTCTTTCAGACAGTACGACCTTAACCTAATTCTCATGCAAGCAGTGCATTAAAAACAATGTCTGCCCTAGTTGTCATTTTATATTCCGTTTCCCAGGTAATGCTTTCAGGCAACAAAGGACTGGTGATTGTAGATCTGAGCCATCAACTTGTATACCAGCATTTGTCCGTTTCCGTTTCAACTAAAAATCTGAATCGCTTATCATACGATTAGACATTTAAAACTTAAGAGTAGGGATAAGAGCATTAGCAGCATATGACTGACAGTATACTTCAAAAGGCAAAATGTGGTTAAAAATAAAAATAGAATTCACAGCATAAATTTATTATGGTCTTCAACTACGGAAGCAAACCCAAAGTTGAATCTTTAAAGACTGGAGTGCTATTGATACAGACTTATTATTCATTGAGAACAATGGCAAAGTCAGTCTTCCTGGTATCTGCATACATAAACAGACCTGAAAACAGAAAAATCTCTTCAGTAAAAGTAAACAACATTTAACCCATGGACATTTTTTTGGTTAAAAAAAAAATGCATCAGTTCTTCTTAGAGTATCACATTCACAGCAATCATGGAAAGAAGTGGTCATCATGGTTATAGATCCAAAAACTTTGTATATCTGCTGAATACTTAGTTAAAATTAGTTGACAATCAAAGTTATCTAATAAAATGCAAATTACTGAGTATTATTAGTCAAACTATCTAGCATTTTATCCAGCAAGACTGCAACAGGAATATTCAATACACACCTGAAGTTCAGTGTTGGTTTTGTTTCCTTGATAAAACGGCCACCAAGATGGCCAAACAATATCACAGGTATTGTAAATCGTTCAGACTACAGGAGATGGATACAAGCAACAAGTGATCCTACACACCTGTAATGGAAAGCAATATAGAATATTTCTGGGATAGCAAGCATCAAGTGGTGGTTATATACCAAGATTAGTTCAATTATAGAATAGGTATTATGAATTATGTAAACTTTTAAAGTGGGGGGAGGGGTCATTCATTCAAAAGAGCTTGCCATATGAACCCCTCCCCCTCCCCCTCTACATTATCCTTACATATAAAAAATATATTTTAATTATGAAGTGGTCTATATGATCAAATATGTTCACACTTACTTATGGTCAGCTGTAATGAAGGATTTGCAATGCAGATAATCATCCTGCCAATCTCTTTCATCCATGTTGTGATCTTGGACCTGGAAAAAGAAAAAAAAAAAGTTGATTATTTACTCCAGTACTATTGATGAATGTCAAATGTATATAAAACATCAGTTCTTCTTAGAGTATCACATTCACAGCAATCATGGAAAGAAGTGGTCATCATGGTTATAGATCCAAAAACTTTGTATATCTGCTGAATACTTAGATAACTTTGATTGGCAACTAATTTTAACTAATAAAATGCAAATTACTGAGTATTATTAGTCAAACTATCTAGCATTTTATCCAGCAAGACTGCAACAGGAATATTCAATACACACCTGAAGTTCAGTGTTGGTTTTGTTTCCTTGATAAAACGGCCACCAAGATGGCCAAACAATATCACAGGTATTGTAAATCGTTCAGACTACAGGAGATGGATACAAGCAACAAGTGATCCTACACACCTGTAATGGAAAGCAATATAGAATATTTCTGGGATAGCAAGCATCAAGTGGTGGTTATATACCAAGATTAGTTCAATTATAGAATAGGTATTATGAATTATGTAAACTTTTAAAGTGGGGGGAGGGGTCATTCATTCAAAAGAGCTTGCCATATGAACCCCTCCCCCTCCCCCTCTACATTATCCTTACATATAAAAAATATATTTTAATTATGAAGTGGTCTATATGATCAAATATGTTCACACTTACTTATGGTCAGCTGTAATGAAGGATTTGCAATGCAGATAATCATCCTGCCAATCTCTCTCATCCATGTTGTGATCTTGGACCTGGAAAAAGAAAAAAAAAAAAAGTTGATTATTTACTCCAGTACTATTGATGAATGTCAAATGTATATAAAACATCAGTTCTTCTTAGAGTATACCACTCAGGGACTCGTGAAAAAAGCAGTCATCACATTTCTAGTACTTTGTATTAATTCCTTACAATTTAATAAAAATAAAAAAAATTATTTGCACTCTTTTTAAGTAGTTCCATCCAGTGTTAAATGCTTATGCTCCCCCCCACCCACCCATTTCCAATCAGAGTCAATCATGAATAACACCCTTCCATTTCAGGAAAATTCACAAGACCACCGCATTCCTGACCAGGAATAACATTTGAAGAAAAGTATGAACAATGGAGGGAACTACTTTAAGGGAGGCTTGTTTTAGTAGATTTCTTTTTGGATTGATATATTCAAACTTGAGACATACCTTTGATACGCTTGAAGCAAAAACTGGTTTCAAGCTCTCATTGCCAGGGAACATTAACATGCATATCAATACAAGCCAGCCTCTGTCCACTTGCCAACCTTTGCACTTCAACTAGATCTGCCCTCCAACCTGGTAAAAGTTGTAGATGATAAAAATCTAAATTTTTTCCAACCTTTGCCTACCATGCTATCATCATCATATTCAACCACCATTTGCACAACAATTTCCCCCACTAATAATCAAAGTTTCAAGTCTCAAATGCTTTGCCAAGATTTTTTTTTTTTTTTTTTTTTTCAGTTCTTCTTAGAGGATATATTGTAGCAATCAGTGTATCATGCTAAAAGTAAAGTCATCATGCTAAAAAATAAACATGGGGAGGGTCTCTTAAAAATACCAACAATTCCATCGAAAGAAAATATATACACAAAGAAACTTCTTGGTTAAAAGGCCTTACCTCCTGGGCCTCTTCTGCTTGGGAGGGTTCTTCATCTTACGTGAGGGCTTGGCCACAACACGGCGTTGGGCAATAACAACAACATGCTTTCCGCTGAATTTCTTCTCCAGCTCACGTACGAGACGCTGCTGAACACGCTGGAATGCCTTCAACAAGGGAACTGGCACAAAGATAGCAATGCACTGAAAAGAGAAAGAGAAACATCTTTTCAAATCAACAAGTAAGGTTATTTTCACACACATCTGCAACTCGGCTATGATTCGGAAAAAAAATTTACATTCAGAATGTATAAAACATAACTTCCTGCTAAACTTAATCTTCAACCAACCTTTTTGTCACCAACATCAATTTGTGTGGCGCCGGTAATGGTAAGTTCACGGAGTTGCGCCTTCAGCTCAGAGTTCATCTCCAGGTCGAGCAGAGTCTGCCCGATGGAGGTTTCAAACTCATCGGGCTGATCAGCCGACTGCTTGGTGATTTTGCCGTTGCAAAACTGTGGCATCTGGAAAAAAATTCTCCATTTACTTTTTATATACAAATTTCTACAAAGGTAACAATAATAATTGAACAAGTCAATAAAACAAAAAATATCCTGTCAATTCTGAGGAGAGGTGGAGAGATCAGAAACTTGTTACCTGTGTAAAAACTATATAATCCCCTTAATAACCTGGAGGAAAGTAGTTACACCGCCAATCCAAAACAAATTCAAACCTAGAATCTAAATTTTTTCCAACCTTTGCCTACCATGCTATCATCATCATATTCAACCACCATTTGACACAAACAAATTTCACCCACTAATAATCAAAGTTTCAAGTCTCAATGCTTTGCCAAGAACCAAGCTAAACTGGACAATGTTCAGTGCTAAAGCTAAGGATCTCTATTATGTATTAAAGTACCTATGAAACTTCAGAAGAGTTTTGTACTTCCCATTATCAAATTACTAACAATATATCCAAGGAGTCCCTTCTCCATTGCGTTTTCTGTGTATGCAAATGCCCTCATAGCAACCGTTTCCATGCAGGTAAATGATGCCAAACATCCAGGTATACAATGCTGAACAAAATTAAAAGCTTTTACTTTTTTTATTTGTATGCATTGGCAACTTCATTCTTAAAGCCATAAAAAAGTGGAAGTTCTGAGATCAGCCTCACAGCTCTGGGGTTTCAAGAAAGATTATGTAAGCACCAAATTTCAAATTAAAACTTTATAATAGAGAAAAGGAAACCAGTACACAGTGTAAAGAATGCTTAATACTGGAAATCAAAGTTCAGTACATGAACCCAAGTATAATTTCTAATTTCTATAGTGAAAGGCAGGGGAGGAGGCGGGGGGGGGGGTTACGAACATTTTAAAAATTTTGAACTATGCCGCTGTCCATTACATACACAGGATCTAACTTTTTTTTTTTTTTTTTTTTTTTTTTTTTTACCTGGACTTCCCTTGTTAGGTAAACAACACTGCCTCTATGGGACTTGCAATCTGCCAGTGCCAACCTATCTAACCCATATTATGGTCCACTAGATAAGAATGCATGACCCACAATGTAATGCAAGCACAGGCCTCTTGAGCTGCATTGGTGATACATATGTATCAATCTATATTAATCCACTGCTGATGCAAACATACTTTTCAATGTCCATTTGTTCATTAATTTTCTTTACAAAGAGATGCTTTATAAATGCTTAGTCATCATGAAGTCAATTGCAAGACCTCCCTAAATTTACTTATTTAACCAATTCCTTGACTTTGTAAATATAGTATTCCTTTCTAATACTATTACAGTTCAATTTAACTGTATAGATAGTAATGTTATATCAATAACAATACCAACAGCAAAAACTCTAGTTTCAAAGGAATGGGATAAACAGGTGAATTCAGGCATTCCTAGGAATGGAGATCTTAGTGACTAAGCATTTTTGGAGCCACTGATAAGAAAAGGGGAGGACTGAACAAGTAAATAAGAGGTTACAGATAATTAACCTTATAATAAAGAAAAGTTAAGACAAGATACATCACTATGTTGCTTTTACAAATTTTATCCAATATGCATGAGGATGATCATAATGTATCAAGAAAATAGGAACCACTTCCTAATATCTACTAAAATACATTAGTTGAGTTACTTGTACAGTACTACATACCAGCTACATAAATAATTGTCCTTGATGCAGGCATAAATAGGAGTGCTAAATATTACCTACATTTTATACAATTGATATACAAATTTCTGCAATGGGGGATGACAGTGTTGAAAAGAATTACAAGTTTTTCAACTAGCTTTTTTAATATAATACAAGATAAGGTAAAGTTT